CCCTCCACTCTTCCCTGTGCGGTGCAGACCAACAACCGTCCTGCAGGGAGAAGGCATGGTGTCACCAACAGCAGCGCACCGCGTAGCACCACTGCCTTCCGCCACCGGCCGCCGCGAGGGCGCCTCTGCTGGTCACTCTTGCGACCACTTCCAGGTGGTCATACACATGCAGTCCTTTTGTCCAGGTGGTGTCCATGGGATCCAGGTGGCTGTACACGTGCACGTCTGACGTGCGAATGATGTCCACTTTTTGTTAAGGGGTCCAAAATAAAGCGTCCCAGTCCATTTCAGGTTCAGAATAATAAAACAAGCCGAGATGTAAAAGGCTTGTTTTTAGGTGTTAGGTTTGTGTTGCGTCGAGTCATGGTTATGAGTTGGTTAGGCTGCAGCTCGAGGACAAGCTGCATGTTCAGGTGGGGTGTAGTGTTAGAGTACGTAATGGGCCTAATGGGCCCGTTAGTCTTAGGGTTAATTAGAGATAAGGGTCGCTTACTTAGGGGTCAAGTAAGCCTTGCTTGGGAGTCAAGTAAACCTCTCTATATAAAGAGAGGAGATGTATCAATCTAATCAAGCAAGAATTAAGAAGAAAATCCCTTCCCTCTTGCCCTGCCGTGGGCAAAAAGGCCCCCGGCCGGCCCTCTCGCGCCCTCCTTCTAGCAGCACCATAACAGCTACAAACATATTTACACCACCAGTGTTCAGACTTGTCCAGTTTACTTTTGTGGCTGCTCATCCTATTTAGGTTTTACTGGTTAATTATGTTATAGATTGACAGGTTACCTACATTTTATGTTTGTCTAGTTTGGGCACATTTTTCTTCTCCGAATAGGTTGTCTACTCTTAGTGGCACATACGCATACATATTTTGTCCAACGAATTTAAATAAACTGCCAGCAATGTTCGATTGGTAGATTGTCTACTCTACTATTTCATGTTACATGTAGATTGGTAATGACATGTCAAGAATGTATGATGCTGATGCTGTGATTTTCATAAGATGCAGAATTTGTCCAAAGCTGTAGTTGTGTGGGAGGTTAACTCACTGGCAGTATATATCTTGGGTTTGAGCGAAGATCTGATGTGTGCCTTTGTTCTTGCAGGCTGAACGTTGCACTACCTGTGGCTGCTATTTGACCCTCGAAGCCGGCCAACATGATGTAACCTGTCAAGATTGTATGTATGAAGCCATGTTTGCACGGCGTTGACCTTCCCCGGCATCTTTTCACTAATGGCCCGTATTGGCTTTATGTGTACGTGCACGGCGCTGCACACCATTTTTGCATTTGGAGGGCTGCCGGCGAACTGGGCATCTGTTAAGCTTTCACCAATTACTAATGCCAATAGACAATTTCAAGTATGATCCAACAGATTGTGTTCTCAAATGCCAGCATAGTTGGGTTTTAGACAACACTGTTGCTAGTCTGTTTTCTTCTTCTTGATGAAGCTTATTTTGGAATATATGTTTCTACTATTTTTTGTTATGCAAGAAAATATGCTTTGATTCATCTTGTGATTTCCTGATGCAATGTCAATATGGCCTAGGGCCTGACATGTGGGCCTGAAAATAGTCGCACCACCTAGGGCCTGACATGTTGGCCCAGTCGTCAGAAGGGGTAGTAGATTGGTAGATTTTGGCGTAGTGTTGACAATTGTTTTAAACCAGCTCCACTCCCACTCCACCCACTCCAAGCTCCAGCCATGACATCGCGGACCACCAGCTCCTGCCTGATCTTCCTCCTGGCGCTCCTCCTCCCCCTCGCCGCGGTCGCCGTGCCGCGCAGACACCGCTTTCCGTCGCTCCAGCTCGCCCCGGTCAACTCCTCGGAGCCGCCCACCACTTTCTTCGAGGTGGACCGCCCGATCCAGCCGCCGCGCGGCAGCGTCGGGCCCTGCTCCGCGCTGCTCCTCTCCGACTCCTTCGGCTACACCTACGGCCGTCCTCCGGCCACCGCCGCCTACGTGCCGCCCGAGTGCCTCGCCGCGGGCGGGTCGCTCGCGCTCGCGGTGCTCGAGTGGAGCGCCGACTGCCGCGGCCGCCAGTTCGACCGCATCTTCGGCGTCTGGCTCTCCGGCGCCGAGCTCCTCCGCAGCTGCACCGCCGAGCCGCGCCCCAACGGCATCCTCTGGTCGGTCTCCCGCGACGTCACGAGGTACGCGGCCCTTCTCTCTGAGCCTGGCGAGGTCGCGGTGTACCTTGGCAACATCGTCGACAGCACATACACCGGCGTCTACCACGCCAACCTCACGCTCCATCTTTACTTCCACCCCACAACGCCGTCACCGCCGCCGCCGCCGCCGCATGCCGATTTGATCCTGCCCATCTCGAGAAGCCTGCCTCTGAACGACGGGCAGTGGTTCGCCATCCAGGATTCCACTGATGCGCAGTCAAAGAAGCTGGCCATTCCGTCGAACACCTACAGGGCGGTCCTGGAGGTGTTCGTTTCGTTCCACTCCAGTGATGAGTTCTGGTACACCAACCCTCCCAACGAGTACATTGAGGCCAACAATTTGTCCAGCGTCCCTGGCAATGGCGCGTTTCGGGAGGTTATTGTTAAAGTTGATGACAATGTCGTCGGTGCTGTTTGGCCGTTCACTGTCATCTACACCGGCGGTGTCAACCCGCTTCTCTGGCGGCCAATCACCGGCATTGGCTCATTCAATCTACCTACCTATGACATTGATATCACGCCGTTCTTGGGCAAGCTCATGGACGGCAAGGAGCACAATTTTGGGTTTGCTGTGACCAATGCATTGGATATGTGGTACATTGATGCTAATTTACATCTGTGGTTGGATCACAAGAGCAAGAAGACAGTTGGGAGCTTGATCAGCTATGATGCAGCGTCGTCGGCAAATGTGGACTCGGAGTTCAGCGGGCTGGACGGGCGGTTCGTGACGAGCGCAAGCCGGCATGTCTCCGCCACCGGGTGGGTGGAATCGTCGCACGGAAAGGTCATGACAACTTTCTACCAGAGATTCAGCTATAGAAACAGCAATGTGTATAGCAAGAACGGCAGTGAGCAAGTGGTGAACCAAACGATCGACGCCAAGTCAGGTGTTTCCACCACAAACGGCGCCGTGCTGCTCTCGGAAGAAGTTCACCAGGTCTTCCCACTCTATCTTTTCTCTGGGACCTCAGACGAAGTGGGTGATGAGTACTCGCTGGTTTCGGCTGTCGAGCTGGGCATCAATGAGAAGAGGGTCTCTGGTGCGGAGCAAGGCTTCTCCTACAGCTCTCTGCGGAATGCGCAGTCGGCACGCGGTAGTATGAGGGTGAAGGGGAATTTGGTGACTTCCGGGTCCGGTGAGAACCATCAGGTGTATAAATATGTGGGTACCGATGGATGCTACTCCAGAGATGTCAGCAGCAAGAACTACACTGTCGTTTTCGACCGCTCTGATGACTCGTGCTTAAAGGGATCACAAGTTAAAGGCTCCAGATTCCCCTCCAGTTAGCTCAGACGATCCGGAACTGTACTGCAAGTTAGAGAATAAGATTTGCATAGTTTATCCTGTGCCTCGTATGGTAGGTAGAAGTAGAAATCTTGGACATTTCAATTTGAACTCACTGTTTTCGAATGTATCAGAGTTCGATCCACGTCGGGGACGAATTTCTGGAATTCTCATGAGGGATGCTTCTTCTATATCAATAAAACCGTGGGTGCTAGTGCCCATGGAGTTTCATTTTTTTTTTATCAGTGACACTTTTAATTTGGTTTGAAATGATTCTGCTCCGCACAGGTTATGATTATCATTGACACTTTTACTACTTAATATAATCAAGCTTCTGGCATTATTACTGATCACATTATTTTCTGCATGTTCACAAGCATCTGATCGGATCTCATTTTGGCCTTGCCGCGTCTGTTCCAGTCTCCAACTCAATTGCTCATCGCTGGAGAATGGAGCGATTTACTCTCGCAAAAAAGAAGCCCTAGCCCCTCAAAAAGATGTCTTGAGTGACACCGGGAAGAACAAAGCGTGCTCACAAGATGGGTATTGCAATATGCTGTGCTGGAGATGTTCTTCCAGTTCATTCATAAAAAAGATGTTCATATCTCCTGAGCAGTGGTGCAACGCTATGGGTGGAGGCGGTGGCAACTAATTGCTCACATTGGAAAACGAAGTGCTACTGCATATTGCTTCTTTCTTTCTGAGCCTTTCAAGTTCCTTTTGTACAGAACGAAACTTCTGTTTGCGGCACGTTCTTCGCTGATCTCACTTTTTTTTTTTGGTGACTGAGCTCACTGTTGTCTTCAGCAATTGAAACTTCCGCTGGAGACTTGGCTTTGTCAGTCGAAATTCCAGGCAGCACTAACTCATGCAGCAAAGGATGGTTATTTTTTCCCACACCACCTCGTAGCCCCCTTGGATTATGTCCTTCTGACCCTTGACTGCTAGGATTAAGTTTTTTTTTTTAGGCAAACGGCAGGCATCTGCTGCGTCTTTTCATAGATTTTTTTTGGGCGACGCTACGCGTCCGCCGGTCGATGTTTAGATTTTATCCGTCGCCTCGACGGCCGTTGGATGCCCGAACTGATAGCCGTCTGATCTAGTGTTCACGCCCCGCATGCCCACTCGTTATTTCCCGCAACAAATGCTCTGTTGCGGAAACAACACTATTGCTCCCCGACCCCGACAGAGTTGCGCCCCGCGCGGCGCCACCGCCAACCCACCGCAAAATTAGCCCGCCGCCAGCGTGCAGGAAGTTTCTGCAACACTATGGCGCACCATATTGCACCTCAGATGGTTGGATCTGACGCAAATCGAGCTCACCGAGGGGGCCTGCTTCGAGAGCAACCACGGCCTCTACTCCAACATGACGACGACGAGCTCTCACGCTGGGCACTCCTTTGACGATTTATGTAACTGAAGCTATGTTTTTGAATCATGCATCGTGTTGCAATGCTTGGCCTCGTACGCTCTGACATCGTGTGCTCCTCCAACGCTTTCTGCAACCAGGGCTATGTTTCTGAAGCAAGACCCATGTTGCAGAAAAAAAAACTTCGCTGCCGAACCTTTTTTTTTTTCTGAAACAAGACTTGTGTTGCAGAAACTTTTCTAAAACTAGACCTTGTTGCTAACAAAAAACTTCACCACCAAATCGTTTTTTAATTTCTGAAACAAGATCTTTGTTGCAGAAACCGTTGATCTCTGATTCGTGCCTGCTTGAGTCGTCACTGGCCGTCGCCGATCCCGAGCAAGTCGTCGCCGCCACCACGATGGATAAGGCCTGGTGGCCCAACGCCTTGCGCCACCGCGCCCGTCCCACGGCTCCCAAATCCAGTCGCTCGCCCTCTAATCCATACGAGCCTCGAAACCCCATACTGTTACCCAGTTGCAGGAATGATTGTCTTGAAACAACAGGTGAGTTGCAGGAGAACAGACGCGGCATACAGACGAGCGTCGAAACCCCCTACTGTAACACAGTTGCATGAATGACAGTCTTGAAACAACAGGCGAGTTGCAGGAAAACAAATGCGGCTTCGACGGACGCAGGGAAGTTGTCGACGGTCTGATCAACACACGATCAAACGGTTACAGAGCCGGCGGACGGGCGTGCGCGATCGGTCGGTAGAAGGCAAGCTTTTTCCTTTTTTTTTAAAGTACAAAGAGTATACAGAAAAAGGAAATAAGTATCTATACAGCAGCAGGACTAACATCCTGCAAAAAAGGCCCTAGAAAAAAGCTAGAGGAAAAGATACATATAACATGTACAGGTTAACTACAGATAGTCATCTGAATGCATCGACCCAATCCTGGAAGCCTGCATATTCCTCTCTGATAGCCCTGTGAGTAAGCCAGTGTACCTCTTTTGAAAGCTTTCCTGCAGGAGTATAACCTTTTTTTTTTTCTAAAAAGAAGGATGACCCCCGGCCTTGCATCAGGGCGATCCATGCAGCCATATTATTAATTATTCACCAAGAACGGAGGGAGTAATACATCAATACATGCAGGAGTATAAGCTGGGAGTGCTGCCTTTGAAAATATAATTATTTCTTGTGATCCAAATTGCCCAAGAAGCCAGAGTAATAAGCTCTAGAGAGAAGGGCATGCTAGGATTAACCTTTGCAGGCTGCACTGAAATGGTAAGTGGCCAGACCTGAAGGAGATCAAATGTTGAACACTCTCAACCCCGAAAAGTGGTTCAGACATCCGGGACAAGCCACCGCTCTGTCGTCTGTCCAAACGGACCCTAACATTTCTTCTACCTCGTCTCTTGTTTCTGCATCTCCATGGCACACCCTTAAATCCAAGGTCTTCATGTCGAGAGGCCTTCTGCTTTGCCATGTCACCTCACTAAGGTTCAGATGCATTAATTAACCGCAGATGATATCTAGTACAAAATAGATGACTCAACTTCGTACTACCTTTAGTATAAAGTTGGGTCATCTATTTTGGAACGGAGGGAATTATTTCTTTTTTTTTTGACACCTTGGATCTACGAATTTCGGTACAGTACCAGCTGCTTCTGTGCATCCGTACATGGCGCCAAGAATTAATTAACCGCAGGCGTACGTACCTTGTCTGTTTAAGATCGAATTAGCTGGTGATACCAAGAATATATTCTCCCATCTGCGGATCCTCGCTGTCCATCATTCCTTTCCTTGCAACCTGAATGCCGAGATTGTCAGCGGGCAGCTTGCAGAGCCCGCGCCATGTTCCAAGCTTGCTGGACGTGGACGCGACGGGCCACATTCCAAGCGTCTCCATATATACCTCCACATCAAGCAAGTCACTTAGATACTTAGATCCCCGTAATTATATACAAATGCGTACGTACAAGGCTACCACTGGCGCTAGCTGATCGCTAGTACTTCTTCATCACCAGGCACGTAGATCCTCTTTTTAGAGTTGACATATCTTGATTAGGCATTGCGTGTAGTAGGAGATGGCGGGAGGACGCGTGAACTTGGCAATGGTGTTCTTGATGGCTCTGCATGGGCTGCTGCCACCGTCCACCCACGCCGCCCTGCAGGACGGGTTCTACGGCACCCGCACCAACTGCACCGTCGACGTCGAGGCCGTCGTGCGGGGCGTCGTCGAGCAGCACGTCTCCCGGTCCGCCGACGGTGGCTCCGGCGCGGGGCTCATTCGCCTCCACTTCCATGATTGCTTCGTCAAGGTACGTAACGTAGTTGGGCTCAAGAAAATTGTGTATGTAGAAACTGATCTAGCAGCGCTCTGTTGATGCATCGTTACAGGGCTGTGATGGCTCCGTCCTCATTGATCCGAGCCCCGTCAACCCGGACCCCGAGAAGGCCTCGCCGGCGAACGGCGGCCTCCGCGGGATCGACGTGGTGGAGGAGGCCAAGAGGCAGCTGGAGGCCGCGTGCCCCGGCACCGTGTCGTGCGCCGACATCCTCGCCTTCGCCGCACGCGACGCGGCCTACGTCCTCAGCTCCGGGGCGATCAGCTACGACGTCCCCTCGGGCCGCCGCGACGGCCTCACCTCCGACGCGTCCGACGCCAGCCAGAGCCTGCCGCCGCCGTTCGCGCAGCTCGACGACCTCGTCCGCGCCTTCGCCTCCAAGGGCTTCGGTATTGACGAGCTCGTCGCTCTCTCCGGCGCGCACTCCATCGGCCGCGCGCACTGCTCGTCGTTCAGGGACCGGATCCACCCCGCCGTGCACGAGACCATGGACCCGAGCTACGGCGCCGACATGCGGTCGCGGTGCCCCGAGGACGCCGGGGCGGAGGAACGGGTCGCGCAGGACCAGGCGACGTCGGGAGACCTCGACGGCCGGTACTTCGAAAACGTGCTGGCCGGGAGGGTGCTCTTCAACTCGGACCGGGCGCTGATCGACGACGGCGGGACAAGGCGGATGGTGGAGGACAACGCGGGGGACCAAGGGGAGTGGGCGGCCAAGTTCGCTGCCGCCATGCGCAAGATGAGCGAGCTCACGGGCACCGGCGAGGGCGAGATCAGGGAGTTCTGCCACGTGACAAACAGAGGCTAGCGACCGGGGGAATCGTCCATCACAGTCAACTTGATTTTATTTATTTATTTATAGCTTTTGTTTTTGTATTTTTTTAGGGGTTTGTAATTTTTGTTGATACATGTGATTGTGGAAAATCATTTTGGGTGAAAATATCATAGTGACCATAGTAAAAAGGTCCATGCGTTTTAACGGGATACAAAATCGATGCAAATTTAGTGTGAATCACATCCGTCCGTTGCAATAAGATAGAAAATGGGTGCAAATTTACCGATGACATATTAAAGAGATGTGGCGGATAGTGAAAGACAATGTTGGAGGCCAGTGGGAGTGGGCGGTCAGGTTCACGGCCGCCATGAGGAAGATGAGCAAGCTCAACGGCACCAGCGAGGGCCAGATAACAGAGTTTTGCCACGTGACAAACAAGGGCTAGGGATGGGGGACATCATCTATCACGGTCATCTGGGTATTATTTATTTTCAGATTTGCTAGTTTTTTGTTGGATGAAATCAATTG